GAGAGAAATTTCAGCGGTACAGTTACAAGAGTAAGGAGTCCACCACACTCCTGCTAATAACCTCTCACCGAAATCCTGTAACCAATCCCAATGAAACTCACTGGGTCCTCAAAATACAAATATACAAATAAAGACATAAAGACATAAAAGTAGGTAGAGGAGGGACTAGGTAGGAGAGGCAGCAAGTCAGAGGGGAAGGAAGGGGAACAAGTAAGGGCAACTGGGTACACATGATAAAAAGCATATATATGCATGCATAAGTATCCCACAGTGAAACCCACTATCATGTCTAATTAACACATTCCAATAAAACTACATTTTAAAAGTGTATATCAGGCTCTCTGCCCCTCCCATTCCAGAAACAGCTGCATCTTCTTGTGCAGTGCTAGCCTCATTTCTGAGACAGGATGGTCAAGGTTAGAGTGAACAGATTTGGCCTTATTGGGTGCCTGGTCACCAGTAGTGCCTTCACCTTTGGCAAGGTGGATATTGTTGCCTTCATGGACCTCAACTACATGGTCTATATGCCCGTAAGACTCCACCCACAGAAAGTTCCACAGCACAATAAAGGCTGAGAACAGGAAACTTGCCATCAACAAGACAATCTCCATCTTCTGAGGCAGAAATCCCCTCCAACATCAAACGGGGTGATGGCGATGCAGAGTACGTTACGGAGTCTACTGAGATCTTCACCACCATGAGGAAGGCTGAGGCCCACTTGAAAGGTGGAACCAGAAGAGTCACCATCTCTGTCCCTTCTGCTGATGCCCCCATGTTTGTTTGTACTGGGTGTGAACCATGAGAAGTATGACAATTCACTCAAGATTGTCAGCAGTGTTTCCTGCACCACTGATTGCTTAGCTCTCTAGCCAGTGTCATCCATGACAACTTTGGCATTGTAGAGGGATTCATGACCACAGTCCATGACATCGCTGCTACCCAAAACATCATCCTTGCAGCCACTTGCCAAGGCTGTGGGCAAGGACATCCCGGAGCTGAGGAGGAAGCTCAGTGATATTGCCTTCTGTGTTCCTACATGCAATGTGTCCACCATGGATCTGACATGTGGCATGGAGAAAGTCTCCAAGTATGATGATATCAAAAAGGTGTCGCAGCAGGCAAAGGACATCCTGGGCTCAAGTAAGGATCAGGTTGTCTCCTGCGACTTTAATCTTCATGCTCACTCTTCCAGCCAGCTTTAATGCTGGGCTGGCGTTGCTCTCAATGACAACTTTGTAAAGCTCATTTCCTGATATGACAACAAATATGGCTATAGCCACATGGTGGTGGACCTCATGGCCTACGTGATTAAGAAATATTAAGCTTTGGACTACACAACCAGCGAGAACGTGAGAAGAGAGGTTTTCTGATGCTGAACAGTCCCAAACCAGCTCAGCCCCCAGCATTGAGCATCTGCCCTCACAATTTTCATTCCAGAATCCCATAAGGAAAGGGCTCAGAGAATCTTTCCCTCCTGAATACCACCAATAAAGTTCACTGCACCCTACCCCCCGAAAAACTATCAATCAAATGAGGATCTTACAGTGTTTTATAAGCAGTGCTGAAAATCCTCCCTCACATTTTCAAATGTCCCTATGGCCTAGGCCTAGGTTAAGCTAATTGCATTCCATCCTTACAGCAGCCTGTAAGACCAGCACAGATGGGATCTGGGTATGGAACGAGGCTCAAACAGCAACACTGATGGGGGTGTTGTTGTTGCTGGTTTGAGATTATAATAGTTACATTTCTCTCTTCCCTTTCTTCCCCCCAAATCCTTCCATACCTCTCCTTGCTCTCTTCAAATTCACGTCTTTTTTTTTTCATTATTGCATGTATATATGTATAAACATGTATATTCCCAAATATAGCCTCCTCAGTCTGTATAACGTTGATGGATGTATGCTTTCAATACTGACCATATGGTATTGAATAACCAAGTGGTGTATATTCTTTCTTGTTTTGCTTTTTGAAACATGGTGTCTTCAGCTCAGGCTTGAGAGAAACTCACTATGCAGCAGCCACTGGGCCTCAAACTAATCTTTCTGCTTCAGTCTCTGAGGGCTGGGGTTACAAGCTAGCCCTGACGATACCCAGCGAAGTGGTGTCTCAGTCCCTCTGAGAGCGGTGGTTAGTCTAACCTCATCCCTACAGCAGCGCTAACCTCGTTTGCCTACTACAGACTCAGTCTACGGAGGAAAGCTCAAACTGCTCCCTCACAACACAAAAGCCCCCAAGCTCAAAGTCTTCAGAAACTTTTGTAACAATATGATTACTACAATTTCAGGAATAATTCTGTGTCTGCTGACTCTAATAACAACATCGGTGGGACTGTGTTTGCTATGCCTCTTTTTCCACTTCATTTCACTTTTGCAAATGTATTGGTCTGGAACTGAATGGAAATTTAAAATAAAAATAATCCCCAGGCAATCAACCTAAAATCCCACTCTGGCCTTCTTTATCTACTTCATTCATCAATCAGGACAGCCAATGAGTGTGAACCAGGTAAAGTGGATTCAGTCTGTTCCCACAGCATTGTTACTACAACCAAATCTAAAACAAGAGATGCCACTCAGGACCTCAAAGAGAGCTGTGGCCTCCTTACAAGTCTAGTTCACTTCCTCATATGCTGAGAAATTAGCATCTTTGTTACCATAGTTACATATAATTGATTTGACAATTAAAGATTTTCTTCTTTGTTTCATTAATCAAAAATTCATTGAAGGTACAGATTCCAGGCCTAAGGGTAAAGAAAAAAGCTATCCACGAAGAAAGGTGGTTCTCGGGTGGGGAGAAAGTGAAGGGAAATCAAGTCATGCCCTTTCTAGTGGTCAGATGTAACAAGTAGACGGCAGCTCCAGCCATCTCAGACCACCTATTTCTAACACTAATGCTGTAAGAGCCGACGGCTCCATCTGTCAGCTGACTTCATTTCTGCTCTGAGAACTCCTTTAGAGAAGCACAAAGGTGCACACCTTTAATCCCAGGTCTAAGGAGGCAGAAACGGGGACCCCTGTGAATTTGAGGCCAGCCTAGTCCACAGAGTGACTTTAGAACAGCCAGGGCTACACAGAGAAACCCTGTCTTGAAAAACAAACAGCTGGTCAGTGGTAGTTCTGGAGTAGATGCTCTCTTCTAGCCTGGCCTCCCAGGGCACCAGACACACACAAGCTGCACAGATACCCATGCACACCACACCCACACACACAAATACTTTAAAAGAAAGAAAGAAAGAACAAAAACCCCATTATGTTAGAGGATAATAGGAGGCTCAGATAGCCTAGGCAAGAAAGTAACTCAAAAGAGAAGTTTCAACCATCAAGGACTGACAGATCACCTGCTTCCCAGCTCTATTCAACTGCTACCTCAACAGAAAACAGGAAATAGCAGTAACAATTTAAATACGCTAACAGAGTAAGTCTGTGAGCTGGATTTGTCCCCGAGCTACGTAGTATGTACTATGTACTCTTGCCACGGTGGACAGTGGCTGAAAACGGCTCTGACTCAGACTATCTCATTCCAAGATACTTGATGAACTTTTTCAAGTTACATATTCCTTGTCTGTAATATGGCTGAGTGAGTGTGTTGCTGGGGTTTTGTTTGTGACAGCGCAAGGAACCAAATTTGGGCTTTGCATATTCTAGGCAAACACTACCATTTGGCTATACACCAGGCCTTTCAGTGAGTCATGTTACATAATATATTTAATTTTTTTAAAGTGTTATGGTTAGGGGCAGGAGAGAGAGCTCAGCGGTTAAAAGCACTAACTGATCTGTCTGAGGACCCAGGTTCAATTCCCAGCACTCACATGGAGGCTCACAACACTTTGGAACTCCAGTTCCAGGGGACCCCACAACTTCTTTTGGCCTCCAGTGACACCAGGATTACATGTGGTACACAGATGTACATGTAGGCAAAACATCCATAAATAAAAATAAAATAAAAATAAAAATAAACAACTTAGATCCCAAAGGGCACGGGTGAAAAAGGAAATAGGAAAGGAATCCACACAAGCCGAGGTGAAGCCTTCCTTCTGTCTGGCTGAAGGCTCTGTCTCTCCTCCCTGCCTAAGCTCACCACCCTTTCCACTACAGGTTGTTCCTTTACCATCAATGCCTTTCCGTCACAATCCCTTTGAGGCAGGCCTACCTCATGCCTCACCTTTCCTCTGAGGAAGTCAGTCCTTTCAGGAATAGAACTGAGGCAAGGGTTTATTCTACTACTGATCTTGAGGAGGAAACCGTGGAATTCTCTGGCATGGAGTAGTTTTTTCCCTAAACCTTTGAGCACTGTGCACCTAGGGAAGTCTGATTATGTAAAGAATAGATGTGCGTATCTTTTCTCCCCCTCTGATAACCTCTGTTTAATGGATGACAACCTAACAAATAGCCCAAAGTACGTCCTGCATTGTAGACCAGGTTTGGCCTTGAACTCAAGAGATCTACCTGCCTTTGCCTCCCCAGTGGTGGGATTAAAGGCGTGGGCCACCATGCCCAGCAAAAAAGTTTATCTCTAAACAGTTTTAAAAATAATCTCAGAATATCCATTCCAGTCCTTGGCTTTTTGGAAAGGAAATGATCATAACAATCTACTCTATTCTTTTCCTCACACTGATTGTAGTGCTGACATCCTAAGCTTTCCTCCAAAAACATTAATGATTTTTCTCTAGAAACAGTTATACTGATTTCACCTCAGTGAAATAATAGTCTCCACTCGGCTTTAACTGATATCTTGATTTCTTGAAACCTCCGGGAATCATCAGAAATGTAACTGTGGTTCCCGTCTCTAGAAAAATGCAGAGCCCTAACTTTTGGTGGTCGTCAGGTATGTAATTTTCAGAGGATTCTGAACACTCCAGGCTGAACGCGAGCTTTGTTTCTTCTACTATGAAATGTTACATCTTTTCCTTAACGAGAACTTAAGAGCTGAGAAACAGTTTCTTTGCAAATATCACTAGGTCTAGCACCATCCTAACACTTGGCAGAAAACGGAGATTTTCTTACCTCTGAGAAATTAACAGCCAAAGGAATGATTCCAGCCACGTAACATCCCACCAACATTGCCAAAGACAGCAGACTAATGGAGAGAAAATCATCCATTCTGCCCTTCTGTAGTCACCCTCTACCACCAGCCTTTAAAATTCCAGCAGTTTCAAAAGGCGCTTAGGCTGTTTAAACTTGTGGTCTTCCAAGAAAGCAGGGGAATTTCCCCAATGCTTTCAGTCTTGCTGGTGTTTCCACGAAGCACGCCGCTCTTTTAAGAAGCAAGCTCCTTTTGCTGATATTAGCACCAGAGAAAACTTCGCGCAATCTTAGGTACTTGATTGTCAGTCACTGGGATTCCGGTTGGTAACAGATGGAGAAATTGTGCGAAAAGAGATCGCCTCAATCGTCGGAATGAGGGTGACACAACGATCCACGCCCCTAGACAATGTCCCTGGTAGCAGCAGGAAAAAGAGATACAACCAAGTGTCTTCTCCACACGCGGTACCTGTTCCCAGAGGTGGCACCGCAGGTGATACGCCCCCAGGGAAGGGACCAGCCCACCAGTCCCAGCAAACTACCTTCCGAGTCTACAGTCGGGCAAGATGTCCTGCAAGTCTCTAACAATGGGCCGGAGGATTCAACAGCAAAGTCGATACGATGCTGTCTCTGCCCTGCACCCGGTGCTACCCATAGTACTTCCCTCGGCCAGGCCCTGACCCTGAGTCGCCAATACTACAGCTGCCATGGCCGCCAAGTGGCACATCTTCATTACTCCCACTTCCGGATTGTCTCACCGCCTCCTCTTTAGTAGGGCACTTCCGGGTTACAACCGACCTATAGGCCTGGGTCCTTATATTGCCGCCATTTTTTAGAAAAGCTAAAAAAAAGATGATTGGTGTCGCTGTTGTATTCCCCATCACTTTAGCTGCCTGTCTGTTAATTAAAGTACAGAAGGCAGCACCCCGAAGCAAACTGTTCTTTCTAAAGCTGCGAAAGAGTCTCTTACAGATCTCGGCGCCCTTACCCAAGATGGCTGAAACAGAGTCAGTAACCACTCTAGAAACCGGAAATGTGTGAATCTCTATGGTCTGAAAGGCTCTTTTGCGTCGCGCTTCCGACGATTTCCGGCGGCGGCTCTCGCGGGATTGGCTGTTGGCGGCGTTGCGGCTGAGCTCGTGTGCGGCGGCCGAGGTGTTAGCGGCAGCTGCAGCAAAGCGTTTGGCGCGATGGTGAGTCCTCAGCGGTTGCCGGGGTCCCCAACTTCTAGGGCCACCCCTGCTCCGTACATCTCCCCATCCTTACCGTCCCTATCCATCTAGCGCGAGCGAGCTGCTCCCCGCCCCCTTCCCCCCAGCTCGCGGATGGACCCTTCCCCTTCCCGGCGCCGAGTCGCGGGGCCTGACTGTAGGCCCCGGACCTGGTCCTCCCTGCGGCTGCGCGCCTGCCTGATGCTGGGGGCGAGGTATGGGGTGGGCAGAGAACGATGTGCTGCCTGCCGATCGCTGCCTGGAAGAGGGAGATGTGGGGTGCCGTTCTTTCTGTTCAGATGCTCTATAGGAACAATGGCCGGGGAACGTGTGTCAGACGTTTCCTGAAACTGACACACCGGTCACCTTACTGTTCGCCTTATGTCGGCTTCGGGGATTCGGGTTTGTTTTGCAGTGTGCTGCCTCAGCCGACTCCCAAACTTCAAAAAAAGTATCTCCCCTTCTTCAGTATCCTTAGTTACCCTGTTTTGCCAACTCTGGCAGCCTTAGATCTTGTTCTTACTTACATTCTCTTGGGAGTGGAGCCTGAAAAGAGACTCCGGGGTTCTGGTTCCAAAATCCGACAGGGAAGGTTTTTGTTTTATTTGTTATGTGTCTGTGTCTGCACGTGAATACAGGAGCCGTCGGAGGCCAGAAGAGGGAATAGATCCCCAGGATCTGGAGGTACAACAGACGGTTGTGAGCGGAGCATGTGGGTGCTAGGAACCAAACTCATGCCCTCTGTAAGAGTAGCACGTGCTCTTAAACCTCAACACCCTCGGTGTTGTTTTGCATTTGGGGAGCTTAAAAGATTTCCTTTTCTGTGTATGGTGTTTTGCCTGCTTGTCTTGTGTGCCACTCGCATGCAGTACCTGCGGCAGACAGAAGAGGGCGTCCGATCCCCGGATTGGAATTACCGGTGATTGTAATCGACCGTGGAGTGCAGGGAATTGAAAACCGGTCCCTTGGAAGAGCAGCTTGTGCTCTTAACCAAAGCCATGTCTCCAGTATTCCGGCCCTCTTGTTTTTAAGTAAACAAAGGAGAAAGATTTGGAGCATGTGTGTTTGTACTTTTCAAATTATTCCTTAATTTGCCTTAAACTTTTAAAAAACTGTGGCAAAGAATGAATAGCTTGTCTAGGATGAGCCATTACAAGAATGCAAATAGGTTTTCATGAAATTACTTTTCTTCTCAACAACAGACATTCTGAAAGTACCCTTTGGGGTAGCTGATCTTTTATGAGCCCCTACACAACAAATCATGCGTTCTCTGGCTATTGATCACCAACAAAGCACTGTTCACATCAGCACAGGTTTCTTTTTTACCAACTTAGAGTTTTGTTTCAAGTTTTCTCAAACTTGTTTAAAATGAAGCAGTTCTTGCTAGAGATGGAGAACTCATGATGCTCTTTTGCTACATGAAATTTAAAGTACTTTTTTCTGGTTTTTTTTTTTTTTTAATGCAGAAAGCCTAGATCTCAGAATCTCAGTTCAGTTTGTTAATAATTAAGTTTTTGGATTGTCACAAAATAGTGTGGGCATCCTGACATAAGAGTTTATTTTTTGCCGGGCAGTGGTGGCGCACGCCTTTAATCCCAGCACTTGGGAGGCAGAGACAGGTGGATTTCTGAGTTTGAGGCCAGCCTGGTCTACAGAGTGAGTTCCAGGACAGCCAGGGCTCCACAGAGAAACCCTGTCTCGAAAAACCAAAAAGAAAAAAAAAAAAGAATTTATTTTTAACTAGAAACTAGTGTTGCAGGTGTAGAAAACAAGGTGAATAATTTGGTTGAGAACTGGCCTTGCAGTGGAGTTGCATCATGCATGCATTTGCTTAATTAGCTCATCATTCTTAAATGTATGGGAGACACCACATAAGACTATTGCTGGTCAGGATTCCTCTTTGTCTTGTTTGAAGACATTTTTGGTTTTTGCTTCTTTGAAAGGACTTGGCGTTTGTGACATCTAATGAGTAGAGACCAAAGACGCCACAAAACATCCTATAGGCACAGGACAAACCCAAAGAATTCATTTCTCTCCCAAGATACAATGAGAACTGAAACTGACTCCACTCCTAGTGAGAGGAGAGGAAAGCTTTCAGTGTCCTGCTGTTCTCTGGCACAGTCAGAGATTGTACATTCAAAGACAAATGGGTATGAGCTAGCCTCTTAGGGCAAGTCATCTAGGTGCATAGTTCCCTGGATGATTTCAGTGTGGCATTGCCTGTATACATTTTATATTATTCATCTTACACCTTGCTGTGGGAGTAGCTCCTGTATGAAATGTGGCTCCACTGTTGTGCTCGAGTCAGAAAAGATCTTAGGTTGACACAGCGTTGTAGCTTTTCCTTCTCTCCCTTTGATTACCCCATGTCTTAGTTTTTTGAATTAATAGAGCTAGAGGCTAGTGGAGACAGAAAACAGGTTCTAAAGGTTAGTAAGAAAAACAGGAGCAGGAGTTTCAGAAATGACCCAGAGAGTAAGGGGCTGACTTAGTTAAGGGAGTTGTGAACCCAGCACTGATACAGAAAGATGCTGTGTTTTAGTAACTGGAACATCATGTCATGTTGGGGCTTACGTCGTGATGTGGATTTCTGAATTGCATTGTTAGGATATTCACTGAAGTTGTTTTTTCCCTTCAGTCTCACACTATTTTGCTGGTACAGCCTACCAAGAGGCCAGAAGGCAGAACTTACGCTGACTATGAGTCTGTGAATGAGTGCATGGAAGGTGAGTGAGCATGGGGGTGATGATGTCTTCACAGTCACACACACACACACACACACCGTTCGTTCTCTTCACAGTCCCTCATGAACGTACACCATTCATTCTCTTGGGAGATAAGTAGCATTCGGGAACTGGAATCTTTTCTACATTTCTTGGATTACTCATTTGAGCAGGAAATATAGGTTTTTAGTATAGACTGTTACTGCATTTTGTTATGATATGTGGGTATTTTATGTACATTCCTTACATATTCTGCTAAACTGTAGCACTCTTGAATTGTTAAGGTTGGCTCTGAGAAATCCCTCTGAAACCTAAACCTAAGATAAGTTAGCTCAGGGAAAGTCAAGGTTCACAGAAGCAGGCCAGTATAATTTATTGTGCATTTGCTAGACTCACAACAGGCTCACACCTAGTGGGCCATGAGTCCAGACTCACTGCTCGAGGCTAAGTGGATTTGGTTTTGTGTTTAATCATTACATCGTATTAACTGGTTGTGCTACCTGATGTTTCTAGAAGTTGTTAGTTCTTTGCTTCCAAATGGAACTGATTATACCTGTGAAAACAAAAGCTGCTTATAATCAAAGATGACTTCAAGGTAGCTTGTACAATATGCTTGGCACTGCCATCAAATTCAACTCCTAAAGATGAAAAGGGGAGTCAGGTGGTGGTGGCGCACACCTTTAATCCCAACACTCAGGAGGCAGAGGCAGGTGGATCTCTGAACCTGGTCTACAAACTGATTTTCCAGATAGCTAGGGCTACACAGAGAAACCTGTCTCCAAAAAAAAAGAGTGGGTTAGGTGTGTTGTTTGTGGGGAGGGGAGACTTGCAATGTCTTCAGGTCCATTCTTCTGTTTGTTATTAAGGCCAACTACATAGCAAAAGAACTGCCTTCAGAAGAATGTCTCTGGGGCTGTGTTGTCATGTTTGGATTGCCTTTCCTATAGCCTTGATTAATCTTAGTAAAGCCTAACTTTATATGTCTATTTATGACAGAGTTTTAATACCTGTCCAGGCTAACCTGGAATGCAAGATTACCCTACCGTGGCCTCATAAGTACTGAGATTGTAGATATGTGCCACCATATCTGCCTCTAATATTTTGAATTTTTGTACTTTGATATATGGGTTTGAGTTTGTAGAAAAATTGAACAGAATATAAAGTTTGGGCGGGCCCCCCCCCCCCCGCCTTTATTGGTTATTAACGTCTTGGGTTGATGTGCTAGGTTGTTACAGTGGTGAACTGGGGCTGACACATTGGTAACTCAGTTTCATAGTTTATATTTTAGGGTTCATTCTGTGTTGTCCAGTTCTGTGAATTTTGCCAAATTGCTTGGCTTGTCAATACAGAGAGAGTCATAAAGAAAGGTTTCTGGGCTGGTGAGATGGCTTAGCGGTTAAGAGCACTGCCTGCTCTTTGGGAGGTCATGAGTTCAAATCCCAGCTCACAACCACTCTCATATGAGATCTGATGCCCTCATATGAGCCAGTGGGGGCCTGGAGAGAGCAGGGCTGGAGCAAGAGGGAGAAGGAAAGGGGGGGGGAAGGTTTCATTGCCCTAAAATTTATGCCTGCCCTCCAGACCCAATGGCAACTACTAGTCTTTAAACCTGTAATACCTAATACAATGTAATATGTAACTAATATTACACATTTTTTTGTTGGAGAAATAAGAAAAAAATGTAGATGTTGAGTACCTGTGGAGATTGTTTTTCAAATGTTTCCAACCCATGGTTCGTTTTAATTAAACCAATGAATGCTGACCCCACACACGGGCCCAGTGTGCTGGTTGTAATTACTGCAGACATACTTTTTGTGCTGGTTTCTGTGATATAACAGTGTGTGCATTTAAGATTCTTCTATGTCTTATAACTTTATGACTGAATTTGTTCCTTGGCACCACATAAACAGGCTTAGTGGTCTGAACCTATAATTCCAGCACTTGGGAAATGGAGGCAAGAAGATCGGAAGTTCAAGTTTATCCTCAGTTACAGTGATTTCAAGGCTAGCCTGGGCTATATCCTATTGAAAAGGGAAAAAATGATAATTTGTTTTTCATATTAAAAAGTTAAAAGAGCGATGGCACTACCATCTTGTGTAATTCCAGCACTGCTGAGGCTAAGGTCAAAGGAGTGTGAGTGTGAAGCCAGCCTGAGCTACATAGTAAGTTGCAGGACAGCATGAGCTGGCTGCTAGGGTGCTTTCTGATAAAACCTGCGTGGGTAGGGTGGGGGAGAGGTAACTGAGAGGCTGGAGTGTATCTCAGTAGAGAATTTGCTTAGCATTCATGAAGCCCTAGGTTCAAGCCTACCCCTTGAAAATCTGCCTGTATATCCTTCCCTTCTTCCCTCCACTCAAATCTGATACTGGTAAATTTATTGACCAGGTTTACTGGTAAGAGCTTTATAGAGAGTTTAAGTTCCTTCTCCTTTTGAGAGGAGGCTTATAGAAATAGAGCAGATTTTCATGGATGTTACAGCCTTGTTATTGTTACTTTATTTATTAATTCTAACCATGTCTTGGTGGCTTCATATCTACAAGACTACCTCATTTACAGATAGAGACAGTTGACTACTTCTCTGGCCTAGATGCCTTCTAACTTCGTGCCTCTTTGTTCTGGCTACAGCCTGTAATGAAGTGCTGAGTAAATGTTCATTCTTCCTCCAGGTGGCAACAGATAATCTGTGTCCACTAAACAGGACAGTAGTGGCCGCCCAGCGCCTTTTAAAGATGAGCAGTGAAATTACCTTCCTGGACTTGACTTCCTTTTTGACTCTTTCAGTTCCATGATTTCAGTGGAGTGTGCTAGTAGCGGTTAAGGGGTGGGGGGAGGGATAGCTCAGTGAAGGCATAAGCACCAGTGAGTGTGAGAGCCTAAAACTTGGAAAACAAGCCAGACTTAGCAGCCTGCGCTTATAATCTGATGCTGAAGGGTCGACAAGTGGATCCTAGAGGCCCGATCGCCAGCCTAGCCTGAGGGAGATGCAGACCAGTGAAGACACCCTGTCTCAAAGGTGGAGAAAGATGGCGTTTCACTCCCATTTCCTCTGTGTAGCCCTGGCTATCCTAGAACTTGCTCTGTAGACCGGACTGGCCTCCAACTCACAGAAATCTGCCTGCCTTTATCTCCTGAGTGCTGGGATTAAAGACATGTAGCAACTCAACCCCAGCTTTTAAAAGTTATTTTAGAGGTTTCTTAATATATATTACAATATAGGGCATGTTGCCCACAAATAACTAACATTGATATCACTTGTTCCTTGAGCGGTTGGTGGTAGCAATGGACTGAACAGGTAAATTCCCCTATTTGTAGAACACATTACTGGTTGGAAATTAACAGGTAATGTGCTCTGTTGATAATTGTTAATGCTACCTTTATTGATTGTGGAGTTTTGATTTGGGTTTTGGGGTACAGTTCCATTTATACTAAGCTAGACTGAAACTCAGTATATCTGAGGATGAGCATGAACTTCTGATCCCCCTGCCTTAGCTTCTCAAATGCTAGGATTACATGTGACCACCACACCTGGTTTTCTTATATTGGAGTATTTACAAGCTTTGCTTGTGCTAATGCTTCAGCTGTGTTACTTCAGATACTCTGTAGAACCCTATGGAAAGGTATTTACTGTTTGTCAGGTGAGGTTTTCTGGGTGGAGGTGGTTGTCCTGGAGGTGTGATGAATGAGCTAGCTTTCTGGAGTCCCCTTGAGTCCAGCATCTGGGCACCTCAGTGCCACATTAAGATAAGGTCTGATTACTGTGACTTAGGTGAAATAGGAAATTTCCGTGTTCTGCTCTCCAGCTGTAGAAAAATTTACTAGGAACCTTGATAACAAGCTGGATGTGGTGGCACACACCTTTAATTCCAGCACTTGGGAAGCAGAGGCAGGAGAATCTCAGAGTTCTAGGACAGCCAGGGCTATGTAGACAGACTCTGTCTCAGGGAACAGAAAAAAACAACAACAACAACAACAAAACACATTACTATCTGAAAAGGATCACTGCTAATGACCAAATAAACTTAGGCCCTGGGCTAGCAGTCTACCCAGATGGCCAGACCTTTAATGTTCTTTCAACTCCAGGGATTTGTAATCATCTAATTATAAAGGACAAAATAGTTATCAATACTCTCATAAATTTAAATTGCTAGTCATAAAAATTAAAACAAAAGTGATCAGCCTGTGGTCCTCTTCCAGATCAGTTTTCCTAAGGTAAATATACTGACAGTACAGCACTACTTATGTTCTTGTTCTACCCTCCCCCATAGGTGTTTGTAAAATGTATGAAGAACATCTGAAGAGAATGAACCCCAACAGCCCTTCCATCACATATGATATCAGTCAGTTGTTTGACTTTATTGACGATCTGGCAGATCTCAGCTGTCTTGTGTAAGTATTAGCCACTGTAGCTCTTAATTTGTATTTTTCTGGGTTTTGTCCATTTATATAGTTACCAGTGTCTCACATATAAATAAAAAGTTAGGATGATGCTCTAGAGCTGAAGGCATAAGAGGCTTGGCAGTTGACAGTGTGAGGTGAGGACGGACATTGTTTTAACCCTGATAGTCCTTTTCCTGGGTTCTCATCCTCTTACTTTTTCCTAAAGTAATTGTTGTCAGATTAAACCCAAAGTTCTGTTCTTGAAGTTTAATTTAGGTCCTGCCCTATGTAAATAGGGTTTGTTTTGTTTCATTGGTGTAAGGTTTTAGATTCTAACATGCTTATGATAGTTGCATTTAAATTTTATTGTCAGTACTACTAATGTCAATATTCTACTGTCATCTACACCTTGAAGTACACTAGATTGGCAACTACTTAATTAGGACATATGAACAGAGTATGATCCTAGGAAATTATTCACTTTGGGGGATGTTTCTCATAAAACAGTGTTAGTGGAGTAGGGACTTCCGGTCTGGGCCCGAGCATAGAGCAGGTCACAGGCGGCAGCTCCGTACCCAACCCCAGAAAACCAAGAGAAAGAGGGACTCCCAGGAACTTTAACTCAGGCAGTATCCCAGGTAAAAATGAATCACCCATGATGTCTGCTGTTAGAAGTTCTAATCCAGATGCTGGCCTCCGAACTTATACTACTCAGACCTTTGAAGGACCACTGACAAGAACATCAAACAGCTAGAGATTGACATCACTAATCTGAAGAAATCCCTCGTTTCGCCATCTGAAGAGACCTCCTAAAATCGCAAAGATCCTTATTGGACTTGATTTACTCTAGTACAATAGAAAAGGCTGTGTACAGCTCTTGACTGTACAACCCTCAAAGAAGAAGGTTGCCTTTACATAGACAAGACAAGGAGGGTTAAAGAGAGCATGAAATAGGTAGTGAAGGCCCTAAGAAAAATCAGAGAGAGAAAGAGACAGATGAATGCTGGTACAAGAATTGGTTTGCAGCCTCTCCAAGGTTGTCAACCCTATTTCCTTCCATCTTGAGACCATTATTTGGGTTCTTTTTGCTTTTTTCTGCTGGTCCCTGGCCCTCAAATAGGCAGACTAACTCTGTGATACAACAGATAAATAATTTGGTAGCAAAACCTACTCAGATACATTATCATAAGTTAGCTATGGAGGACCACGAGACTCAAGATGAGGTTGTTACTTTATACAGGGTGTTTCCAAAACCCATCTCCACCCAACCTAAAAGGGGGGACTTCTGCCCCTAGACTAAGCAGAGAGGGACCACCCAGAACCCCCTCTGACAGGCGATCTGAATTCTTGCTTTGGCTGCGAGGCTAAGCACTGCAAGGGAATATAAATAAAAGATAAAAATATCTATCTGGGTTCCCTAAGGGACAAGCCTGACTGCATAGGGGTTGATGCCAAAAGTATCCCCTCTCCAGGAAAAAGACATCTGGACGGGTATGTCTCATGTCTCACTGGACAACGACAGGGGGACTGGAGCCATTACAAGGTCCCCTTCAAATACTGGAGGTCAGGCCTCTATCCCCGCCTTCGCAAGTTTAGAATTGCCACAGCCCTTCTATACTTAGAGAAGGGAGGAGATGTCTGGGGCAGCCCTGCTTATACACTGAAGGCCTAAAATCAGCCATAGGCCTAAAATCACCAATAGGCCTTTTATACATGTGTACTAACACCAAGTCTTGGGTCTCTGTGGAAAAACATTGAAACAGATGGCTATAAGCTAATGTCCACAGGCAGCTCTTGTGGAAATTTATAAGCCTGAGTAGTCATAGACCTTGTAAATAGGTAGCCTTGGCAGATAATACCAACTTAGATAAGGACAAGCGAGTCATAGGCAGAGTCATAGTGAATTGTCCCCTGAACCTTCACCTAGCCGATACCCGGTTCTGAAGATATCTGTATTCCCCCTGAACACCCATGCTCCAGTGTCATTCCCTTCCCCACATCCTGCCTTTCTGTGTTTATAACCCCTGTGTGAATTAATTACGATTTGAGAAAAAAAAATAAAAATTAAAAAAATAAATAAAACAGTGTTAGTAAGGACTGTTTGTTTGTGTTTGACTAAACGTGTTAGGTGATGGGAAGACAGGTAGACAGCCTCTGGCCTTACCTCTCAGAAACCATTTGGTGTTGGGCATATGGAGCATTCCGTCTTTGGAGTTATTTCCCTTATTAGAAATTGGCCTATGTGTAGGAGTGCAGGCTTGTGATCCCAGCTAATTGGGAGGGTGAGGCAGGAGGATGGAAAGTTGAGTTTAAGGCTAGACAACTTTGTGAGATCCTGTCAAAAGGTAAGGGTAGACTTAGGTGTGGAGCTCAAGGTAAACTATCTGCTTACCAGGCCGAAGCCTATTTCAAGCGCTTTTTAAAAGATTTTATTTCTTTACATTATATATTACTGTTGCTGTCTTCAGACACGGCAGAAGAGGGCGTCAGATCCCATTACAGATGGTTGTGAGCCACCATGTGGTTGCTGGGAATGGAACTCGGAACCTCTTAACAGCTGAGCCAACTCTCCAGCCCCCCATTTCAGTCTTTAGTGCCCTGAATCATAATAACAGGTAGCTTCTTAGCTTGGTAGATCTGGTGAGGGTTCAGGTGCCTGGAGTGCTGAGCTGTGCTGTGTGTAATGGATGACAAGATTTATGATCTGAAGGAAAATGAATTCACCAGCATCACTTAGCTTCTAGGTGGCTTCACTTTAATCCTTGACTGCCTAACTTCCTTTTTTATTTTTAAAAATAACTAAAGCTACTTACAGGAATATGTTTTAAAAAGATTTGTATGGTTGTCTTGTCTACATCTTATATCTATTCACTACATGCATTTCTGATGTTCTCAGAGGCCAGAAGAGGGGTGTTAAATCCTCTGGAACTGGAGTTACATACATATGGGTTTGAGCCATTGTATGGGTGTTAGGAATTGAACCCAGATCCTGGAGCCATCTTTCGAGCCTTCTTCCCCAGTTTGTCTTTTTGGTTGGTTTGTTTGTTTTTTGAAACAGGGTTTCTCTGTGTAGCCCTGGCTGTCCTGAAACTTGCTCTGTAGACCAGGCTAGCCTCAAACTCAAATCTACCTGCCTCTGCCTCCAAGTGCTGGGACTCTATACCAGCACACCTGTTGCTTTGTCTGCCTTGCTATACCGCAGGGTTTTGTTTGTTTGATAGTTTCTGTGTATAGGTGTTTTGTCTGCATGTATGTCTGTAAACTCTGTGCTATGTACGTACAGTTCCTTCAGAAGTCAGAAGAGGACATTGGATCCCCTGGTACTGGAGTCACAGACACTTGTGATCTGCCATGTGGGAGCTGGGGATCAAACTCAGGTCTTCTGGAGAGCAACCAGTGCTCTTAACCACTCACTAAGCTGTCTCTCCATCCCTGTACTGCAGCTTTAGTATGTATTCCTTCACATAGAGTTTAGTTTTAGGGCAGCTGGAAAGCTTCTGTTCTTCAAGTCTCATGAAGATACCTTGACTGGCTCAGTGTACTGCAGACTCTGAAAACCTCCATTATCAATAGAGTTCTGCTGTTGCGAGTCTTCCTGCCTTCCCCTTCTCTTCTGAAAGAGATGTTCTTCTGAAATTTTCATCTGTAGGCCTTTGGTTTTTATTTTTAAAAGCAAATCTTAAAGCCGTGAGTTCCTTAAACAGCAGGACATCATTATTGAAGTAATATTCTGCTAGATATTTTTTAATTGATTCAGAATAAACGTAACAAATCTAAAGCTTTTACTAGTGTTTAGCTTTTGTTTTTAATCACTAAAGGAATTATAAGACTGGTTCAATAAGAATAGAAGCTATGTAGTAGAAAAAAACACAAGGTTTTTGGTCAGTAGGTGTGTTAACTGAGTGCTTAAGAGTTCTAGGCATGGCTGTCTGCTCTCCCAGAGGTCCTGAGTTCAATTCCCAGCAACCACATGGTGGCTCACAACAATCTGTAATGAGATCTGATATATCTGAAAACAGTGACAGTGTACTCTCATACATAAAGTAAAAAAAAAAAAAAAGAAAAGAAAAGAAAAAAAGAGTTCTAGGCCTTGGCTTTTACCACCATAAGATTATAATAGGTGATGCAGATCTGTTTGTTAAAACAGCAGCATTGGGCTGGAGAGATGGCTCAGTGGTTAATAGCACTGACTGTTCTTCCAGAGGTCCTGAGTTCAATTCCAGGCAACCACATGGTGGCTCACAACCACTGTAATGGGATCTGATGCCCTCTTCTGGTATGTCTGAAGACATCGACTGTGCTCATATACATAAAATATAAATCTTTAAAAACCCACAGCAGCATTGTCCACTTTTGATTTTCTTAATGTGTGAAAATGTTCAGGTTGAAGCCATCCCAGGTAGTACTGTGAGCAGTTCTAACTGACCGCTGTAACTTTGCATGTTTCTTTCTGTTCTCAGTTACCGAGCTGATACACAAACATACCAGCCGTATAACAAAGACTGGATCAAAGAGAAGATCTACGTGCTCCTCCGTCGACAAGCCCAACAGGCTGGGAAGTAATTGAGTGGGAAGCATTAGGGGCTGGGGGTGGCCTTGGAACAGGTGCATCCAGCGTGCTGTAGTGACCCTTTTGTATGACAGCAAGCCAAGACTGAATGTCTGCCGTGAACGATCTTTTCACTCTGAAGCCACCGTCGCCCCTTTGCTTCTTTACTTTCGTTTTTTTTACTTAAACATTTTTATGATAATTCAGATAGAAAACATTTTTGCCATTTAAGGTTGGTTCCAGTCCTTGAAACTGTCTGAGTCTGCTTTATAGCAGTGAGCGCACTAACCCTTCGTGGGGGGGTGGGGTGGGGAAAAGGTTAGTTATCTCCTCTGGGAAAGACTTAGTGAAAAATAAAGAAATGTTCTGTAGTTGTATTTTCTCACTGAGTGATTTTCTTGTTTGTTTTCTTGTCTCCAAATACTGAATTGTCTGACAGACCATTTCAGTTTTAGAATCAGCAAGCTGCTACACAAAGAACTCGAGTTCACATTTGGACACAGTTTGCTGTGATTTCTATGACAGTAAGCCTTTACCTCATTTTTTCCAACAATCAATAAATCTCAATTGTAGTGCCAATATTTGTATCTATTGTGGATACAAATGTAAGATGTTTCTATACTCAGTAGTAGGAGTACATGCCATGACAGATTGGAAATACTCTAAGTCTAAATACATTTGGTGCCACAACTCCAAATACAGGACACTGGACACATTGCTGTCCTCTCCTGGCTGCCTGGTGGCTGTGTCTCACCTCATTGCAGCTTCCTGGCATTGCTAGGGTATCTAGACATGCTATCATCCATCAGCTTAGGACAGAAGTGGGATTCAGAACACAACATGTATCTTTCACACCATCCTAAGTTGGAAACCGTTTCTAACATTCTCTTGGGGGTGATTGTGCCCTGGAAATCCTTAGCAGTAAGTACTAGCTGCTCACTCTTCTGTGGAAGCTATTAGGGTGAAGGAAGGACCACGGAAAATACAGAGTCACCTTGTTTTGAATACTGTGGTTCAATGATGACTTAACCACATCACACCTTCCTTCCAGTCATTGAGTGCATGCACACTCCTAAGTCTGTGTCATGGAAGTCAGCCTCTTCACACTCTGTGAGGTTGATAGTTTACAGGGAGACTCATGGCTGGCCTAATGCCCCCCCACCCCCTTTTTCTTTCCCCATCTGCATTAGTCCTTTAACTTTATGTTTTGTACAAAATCTAATTCTGAAATTGGTTTTTATTGTGGCACTTGGGATGTACTTGAAGACTTACACATTGAAGTCATAACACTCTCAGGGACACAGTCCCAGCCCTGCTTATCTTAGTGGGAGAAGTATCACTGTACCAAAGAGCTGTTAAGACTAGGGTATCTGACAATTCTAGCACTGATGTTCACTAGGAGTTAGCCTGACTAAAGGCTAAAAAAGCCTCAAATAGCTGCAGAGCTAATAAATCAGGTGGACCTGTTTTTAACATCATCTGTCCAGCTGCTAATTGTGTTTCTCTAGCATGACCTTTGCTTTGTTTAAGGTATAATAGAACAAATCTGGAGGGAGTGTAACCCTTCATTCTCCACCTTGATTGTAGGTTATGATAGCATAGAAGTTACAGCCATGTCCATTGTCACGCATTATGCTGCTTGCTTAAAGCACCCAGGACCATCTGCCTAGGAGTGGCACCACCCACATTAGTCTGGGTCCTTCCACATCAGTGACTAAGAAAATGCTCTACTGGCTTGCCTACAGCTAGATCTTCTCAGGTGACTAGCTTGCATTGAGTTGACAGAAGTAGGCAGCACATCAACCAGGCAAGTGCTTTTCTCTTCCTTGGTAGTAATCTTCATGGTGGTTCATCTTTCCAGGGATTATTCTTAGCACAAAGACACAGCTCATGTACAAGAGATGACTCAAGTAGGAACCACCCTAGCCTAGACACCTCATGCACAAGTATCACCTCTCCTAGCTATGTGTCTTAGAGCAAGAGGCGGGTGCACCCCAGTTATGAGAGTCACTATTGACAGAAATAACTGTTTCCTGCCTTGGACCTGTAATTTTTCCCAGTTTGAGTATAATTTGCCATAGAAGGGTCATTGCTTACATAATTGACAATCATGCCTAGGAGTATATCATTACAGCCTCTCAAGAAAACTGAAAAGTCAACCCACCATCAAGTTTCTCTGTGGAGCAGAAGTTATGTTAATCCCTTATCTGCATACATGTAAAAAGTATAAGATGGCATAGTAGCCAGCTCAGTGAAGGAAACACCTTTTTTATAAATTTGGGAGATTTGTTTCTGAAACATTCTCATGTTGCCAACCTGGCCTCAAGTGGTCCTTCTTCTTTATCTCCTGAGCAGCTGGGATCACAGACAGGCTAGAGGGCAGTCTAAGCTGGCCCTAGAGGAACAGCAGGAAGCTAGGCCAAGCAGTCAGGGATGTACTGCTAGAAGCGTTTGAAGGATAGTAAGCCATTGTGTCTGCAGTAGAGACCATATAACAGAATAAAAACCATGAAAGCTATGACCACAGTGCCATAAACATCAAACTAAGGTTTAGCCTTAATTCCATAGGCTACAGGTATCCTTAAAAGATTTTCAGTCATAACCTGTCAAATCTTTGCATGAGAAGGATTAGGCGCTCTGCTTTGTAGACTAGATTGGAAAGCCAGAGAATGTAATATCCTCGAAGCCTGGTCATGGGAGAATTTCAGAGAGACAGGTAAGGTGAGAATTACAAAGAGGCTTTTGATTTGCATTTCATGAGGTCTTTGCAGCAGTGTACTTTAAAGACACCTGGCGCATTTACAGGTAAAGGGGACGAGAGTGTGGAGTAATTCGCCTGATCTAATGTTCGGGGAGTCAGGGCTTGATCTCCAGCTTGAGATGGGGGGCAGGGCTTCATTGTAATAACACCCTATTATAATCAGGAACATGCTTGCTCTCCCTGTCCCTGTCCCTGTCTCTGTCTCTCTCCCTCTCCCTCTTCCTCCCTGTCAGGAAGGGCTTTACCCTCAACTATGATCCTGCTGCTTTTGTCAGGGATTTTATAGCAACGGGAAAAGTAACTAAGACAAAGTTCACTGAAAACTTAAAAGAATGTGGTGATATTCAAGGGGGAACGTGTGTGTGTGTGTGTGTGTGTGTGTGTGTGTGTTTGTGTGTGCACGCGTGTGCGTGCGCACGTGACAGAAGGAGAGGGAGTGAGAGGCCTAGAACTTATCAAATAGGCTAAAATGCTTGACCATCGAGCCCTAGGGGTCCACATGTCTCTGGTTTCCTAAAGCTGGAAATCCAAGCTGACTTTTTAAAAACCGTGAGTCCTGAGTATTGAACTTGGGTCCTTATGCATGTCAGGCAAGCCTTTTACTGACTGAGCTGTTTCTAGCCCTAAAATTTGTTTTTTTTCTTTTCTTTCTTTTTTTTTTTTTTTTGTTTTTTTTTTGTTTTTTCGAGACAGGGTTTCTCTGTGCAGTCCTGGCTGTCCTGGAACTCACTCTGTAGACCAAGCTGGCCTCGAACTCAGAAATCCACCTGCCTCTGCCTCCCAAGTGCTGGGATTAAAGGCATGCGCCACCACCGCCCAGCTGTTTTTTCCCTTTTATTGGGAGCAATTTACTCACATGTATAAACAGAGAAAATATTTAAGGTTTTAATTTTTATTTCTTTAATTTTTTTGAGATTATAATTGCATGATTTACCCTTCCCTTTTCTTGTTCCAAATCTTCCTCTCTGCTATCTTTCCAATTCATGGTCTATTTTTCATTAATCATTGTTACATATGTGTGTGCGAATAGATACATACAAACTTTCCAGGTCACGAAAACAACCTGGAAAGATTGTAAGAGCCAGAGGAACAAGGGATTTTACTGTGAAAATGTCAGAAGCTGCACCCATGAAGTTTCACCAACATGGCTACCTAAGCATGAGCTGAACACCAATAAGCCGGGCAGTGGTTGGCACACACCTTTCATCCCAGCACTTCAGGGGCAGAGGCAGATAGATCTCTGTGAGTTTGAGGCCAGCCTGGTCTAAAGGACAGCTAAGGCTACACACGGAGAAACCTGGGAAGGGTTTGGAGGGCAGGGTATGACCAACCGAAGAGGTGTTAATGTGCAGGGGGAAAGCTCGGGAGTCCTCAGCCCTACACAAAGAACTTAGGACTGCTGAGAATGGGAGAAATAGTCTTCCCCAGGGAAGAATGCTCCGGTTATCAAACACCAAGGGGCCGTCCCTGAAAACAAACATACGCAGTTAACATCATACAGACTCAGGGGTTTGTTTTTAATATATTGGTCTGCATGCTACAATATTTCAAACCCCAGAAAAATAGATTCAGTCAGAGTTTGGACCAGCGAAAATAAAAAGCAAAAATTATCCAGACTTCTACCGCCACAACAGAATAATAAAGCCTAAACTGATAAAGTAAGTATCTGTTCCACTCTTGAGATGCTAGGCAACAAGGCAACGCGGGGCTGTGAACTAGGAGAAACCAGAGGAAGTCCCACCCTCTGCCTAGATGGATTTTTCTAGGTGGCAGATATGGGGAGGACCCACATAGGCCTAGCCACCTTGCAACAGACTATTTAAAATCCAAGTGAAGCTGAAGCAACTGGGAGTCACAGCATGATGTTTTGAAAATACTCGGCCCAGGGAGTGGCGCAATTAAGAGGTGTGGCCTTGTTGGAGTGGTTGTGGCCTTGTTGGAGGAACTGTGGGAGTGGGCTTTCAGACCCTCCTCCTAGCTGCCTGAGAGTCTTCTGTTTGTTTGCCTTGGGAAGAAGATGTAGAACTCTGAGTTCCTCCTGTGCCACGACTGCCTGGACTCTGCTATGTTTCCCGCCATGATAATGGACTGAACCTCAAAACCAGTAAGTCAGACTAATTAAATGTTGTCTTTTATGAGTTAGTTGCTTTGGTCATGGTGTCGCTTTACAATAATGGAAACCCTAGCCAAGACACAGATTGGGAGAAAGATTGGGACAGGAGGCAGCTTAACAGAGAGGCTCTCCCAGAGTCCTGGGGACCAGGAGCCATGGAGGAATCTGCAGAATGGCTTGCTTCTCAGGTTCATGTTCCTATACAACCCAGGTCCTCCTGCCTAGGTCCCCTGCACAGCGGGCTGGGCCCTCCTACTGTTTTAAATGTCATTAATCAAGAGAATGTCCCATAGACTTGCCTAGAGGCCAACCTGATGGACACATTTTCCATCACACATTTTAGCTGATGTTCCCTCTTCCTAAATGATTAGTTTGTATCAAGTCGACAAATAGGCAAACACAAGAGAAGGCA